TTGTGGTTTGTGAGTTTGAGCCCCGCGTTAGGCTCTATGCTGACAGTTTGGAGCCTGCTTTGGATTCTGTGTCTCCCTCTCTCTCTGCCCCTCCCCCGTTTATGCTCTGTCTCTGTCTCTCTCTCAATAAATAAAACATAAAAAAATAAAACAAAAATAAAATAAAATTGGCCAGAACTTTTTTGCTCACCACTGTTTCCTGTCTTTGTTATCTGCTCCTGTCTGAGGTCTGTGTTCCTATTTACTTACTGTTAGGTTACAATTCTTCCTCCAGTATTTTCTACACGAGTATGTCAGTAATAGGATTTCTGAAGTCTCCCAAAACCACAAATATCTTTCTCTGATCCTCAGAGGACTGACACCCTGGGACCCCACGTGTGAGGCTGATGACATTGTATTTCTTCCTTCTTAGACGTGACGAACCTGAGGCTCAAAGAAAGAAGGTAACTTCTTCAAGGTCATTCAGCTAATAAGAAGTAGATGACTAATAATGGGGAGTTTCGGACTGTGATTAAAAGTCAAAAGCACAAGATCAAGTAGGGCTTAGCCAAATATTGACTTTATGGTGATGTAAGCCTGGACAGAGGCGACAGAACGTATCCCTCTTCAGCGGTGCTGCGATGACCTCAGGGGTGTGGGGGAAGCTTCTAGGCCCACCCACAGCAAGAGGTGCTATGTCACAGAGGAGCCAGTGTATATCTGTGCTCAACTTTTTCCCTGGCTAGCTATGCTAGCTCTTCAGGGATGTATGACTGGTTCCCACTGATTATAAATCATATAATAACCTCTATACCCTGTGTAGATTTCTCAGGATGTTCTCCATACATTGCACTGAAACCAGCACACTCGCAAGATTCGTTCATCATTAGTTCAGGACACAGTTTGGGTAAGAAGTTCAATTCAGGGTCAACTCTCAGATGTCCTTGGCTCCTGTATAGGGAGTAGGTCAGCTAATGTGAGGACAGGCTATTCAATCACGCTGTGTAATCTTTCTTTCTTCAGGGGCAAATCTGGGCAGAGATTACATCTTCCGGCTCCCATCCCAGAACACTTTGTTCAAGCACCTTAACACAGAAGATGCTGAGAGAGACAACAACAGAATTTTTCTTGGAACTATAACTGAATCTTCCTGGAGGTACCTGTGTATGGGGCATCCACATTTCCTACTGTGGAGTAGGGGCTGAAAAATCAGAGAGAAGAGGAAGAGACTGCTGTTAACGGGGCCAGAGGGAAGAGGTAGGTGCCCCTGGCCCTGACAATTGCAAGAATGGAGGAGCCAAAGGGGGCATGAACGAAGAGTCTCCCATCTTCCCTGTTCTCCCGCCTCAGCCCCAGGGTTTCTGGAACCTCCACCTCCCACCCTTCTGCTCTGTTGCTTTCCTCCCACAGTCACCAGCACTGAGGACTCCTTCTTGTTCTTCTAGAAGCTAGATTCTGATGCAAGGAGGCAAAACTAACCAAGCAAAGTAATCCTGTCTATTATACATCGAGATATAGTATATGAAAAAATAAAGCAGAATAAGGGGACAGAAAAAAACAGAGGGGGAGAAGGTCATATTCTATAGGAAGTAGTCAGAGAAGGACACCCTGAAAACCTGGTGGTGTTCTGAAGAAAGAAGACAGCCAGGCACATAATCAGGGTAGAAGTTTCCAGACTGAGGAAGCACTTCAGGATGTGACCGAGATGGTCCTTTGGGGTGAATGAAGAATCTATTTGAACCTCCATTTATATTTTTACCTAAAACATAAAAATCACATGTGCCTAACATTTAATGTTAATTATTAAAATATATTAGGGGGCTGGGTGGCCCAGTGGGTTAAGTATCTGACTCTTGATCTTGGCTCAGGTCATGATCTCACGGTTCATGAGATTTATCCCGGAGTCTGGCTCTGCATTGACAGTGACGATCCTGCTTGGGATTCTCTCTCTCCCTTTTTGCCCCTCACCCCCCTCTCTCTTGCTCTCAAATAAATAAATTTATAAAATTAAATAAAATATATAAGGTAAATAAAAATAGATGGGGCGAATACTCAATTTTTAAAAATTACAGGAACGGGAAAATAAAAGTTCAAAGATTACTACAGCCTAAGGCAATGATCTGGAACACCAGGGTAGATTTTCTCCCTCATATTATTTGGAACAAAACAGGTATCAACATGCTGTGTATATCTCTTTTTCTTGTAATTTACAGCACAGTTCCTATTCCTCTGTATTTTCAATAGCAACTAAACCCATGGCGTGCAGATGGGTCCCTAATAAATGAATAGATGAATAAATGGATAGAAAGATGAATGAGGGTGGAGCGGTGATTCACTGGACCTTCGTGCATTGAAATGCCACAAAGGCAGCCTGGGCACAATAAAGGACCTCAGCTTTGGCGTCTGACACGAGTTAAAATCATTCAAGGACTACTCTTGGATGATTTATTTACCTCGTTTTCTAACCTGTGAAATTGAAAATGAATTAAATAGAAAGATGAAATGAGACAATCCTCCAGACAATTTCAAAAACACAGCGCCCGATGTTCAGTGGAGGCTTCCCAACTGTTTTCTCCACTCTGCTCTCCTGACCCCCACTCCCACTCGGCCCACTGCCCATTATCAGCACCCGGAAATACTTATTTGCTAAGGCAATGAGGCACCATGCTGGCTTTGCCCCCTTGATGACTGTTACAAAAACTCCAAGGACCCAAGAGTGATGGACAGACAAATGCACGGAGAGACAGGTTAAGTGGGCCTTAGTTAACTGAGAGCAAGGTAAATTGGAAAAAAGGGGTTAAGCCAGCCTGAGTTAGAGCAACCTTGGACGTACACGTGTACCTTCAGGGAGCACGTGACGCGGCATAGGCCACTCCCACCTGTCTGTTCGGTCCCACAAATGCACCCCTTAAAGGAGTGGGAAGATCTTGGGCGCCAGAAAACGGAAGAGTGGGCAAACCAACATCGCGCTGCCTTTGGCCATAATGAGTGTCAATCCTCACTCCCTTTCCCCGCCTCCTTTTCCCTCCCTTTTCCATCAGGCACGTCCTCTGGCGCCATCTGCAGGCCGCGCGCGGAACTCCGTCCGCCGTGGAAGATCCTTTGCCCGCAGCGAGTATCCGCTGTTCTAGAAGACTGGGCTGTTCCTAGTGGCTCTGTTCACCTGCCTGGGCGATCCTGCCAGGGGACTGTCCGTACTGACCCCATTCCCAAGAGCTGCGTGTAAGAAAGCCCTGGAGCGCAGAGGGAGGGACACAGAGGTACTGGTAAGGGCGGTGGGGAGCGCAACTGGAGGGGAGCGGGGCTGGAAAGGGCTGGAGTGTGCTGGGGTCGTGGAGACTGATTGGAACAACAGTGGAGAAGCAATGGGTAGTGGTTCAGGACACCTTGCCTGCCTGTTTGGGTCGTAATCCTAGCCTTGCCGATAGCTGTTTGTCTTCAGGCCAATTGCTTGCTGTCTCTCTGTGGCCACAATTTCTTTTGAAATGGTGATAACGGCAGCTGCTTCCTATGGTTGTTAGAGGATAAAACTAGTTAACGTTTGTAAATGCTCAGAGTACTTTTTGGTCAATGAAATTAACAATTGGACTTAAAGATGGCCACCAGCAGCACTGACAGTACCTTTTGAGAAATGCAAATTACCGGGCCACACTCCAGCCTTACCGAGTCAGGATCTCTAACAGAGGGAGCTCAGAAATGTATTTCGACAAGCTCACCAGAGGATCCTGATGCATCATCAACTTTGCGAAGCACTGGTCTGGGTGTCCGCGGGTTTTAAAGCTACCCAAGTGATGTTTGGACACGAATGGACGGTGAATCACAAATGGCCAGATCCGTTTAAGTTACAAATTGGTAATCAAGACCCCCGTGAGGGGAGTGAACTTCCCTGTCTCCCTGCAAGAAGCTGTGAGGCTCTAAGGTTAAAACTACTCGCGGACACCGCTGCCCCCAACTAGTCCCGTGGTCTTGCGCAAACTATCCCGTGAAATGGGTGCAAAACTCGCACCTAACTCAAGAGGTGACTGCGAAGATCAAATGAGACCCAAATAAGTCTACTACCAAACACCACCCCACTGGGAATAGGGGCTGAACTAAAGTGTACATCCATCTCCAGGCGCAGAGCGGGAAATGCCTACAGGCCCCTGGGACCCCGCCGGGCGGATTTCCCTCTAAGAGGGATGAAATCGGGCTCTTCGGAACCGCGAGTCACAGGGGAGGGGACTGGGGGAGAGGGTTCGATCTCTGGGCTTCTTGGTTTGGTCTGAGTGTGTGCATTAGTCTCTCGGCGAGGTTGGCTCATTTGCTGGGGGCGCCAAGTCCCGCTAGACCGGAAGCAGGAGCGCCGCTGCCCGCTTTGGGCCCTTTCGTCCCCTGGAAGCCGGTGCGGCGCCCGCCCGGACGCCCGCGGGTGTTGGCGGGGCCTCTGCCCGATCCCGGCCAGCTCTGCAGCGGCCGCCGCGTCGCGCCCGGGATGCTCCTCGCGCCGTCGCCGCCGCCGCCCACCTGGCAGGAAGGCCGTTTGTCCCGCTGCTCCCGACGCTGGGCGCGCAGCTCCAGCCCCGCGAGAGCACCAACCTCCGGCTCCTCCCACTCCCGTGCTGGCTCCAGGCACTACCCCCCCGACGGCCGCGGCGCCGAGGCTCTAGGGAGGGAGGGCGGGAGGAGACTGCGCAGTGGGTCCCGGAACAAGATGCTGACCGTCGGCCAGGGTGGGGAGTACGTGCCTGGGAGGGACTGAGCCGCATCACCAGCTCCGGGATGGCGCGCACGCGGGCACATTCGGAGAATCCCGCCTTGGGACTCGCCAGCCCTCTGGACTGGGTCAAAGCCCAGCCTTTCCCGCCCGCCCGCTGGGTGGCCGGACTCGGCCAATCGGTTCCCGAAGTGAATGAGTTACCGGCCAATGAATGAGCACAGGCAGCCTCCGCCCCCTAGCCTCCTGGTGGCTGGGCGCAGAGCGCAGGAGGGCGGACTTGCACTTCCCGGAGGGAAGAGGTCCGGAAGAGAGGCCCCTGAGCCCAGTGCTTTGTAGCTCTTGCGAATCCCAGACAGCGGTACCCGCACCGTTGGACAGATTCTTCGCATCCGTGAGTAGCGCTCTGCTCCTGAGTCGGACGTGGAGCCCTTAGGGGGTGGTTGTCAAGGGCACTAGGCAGAAGGACCTTGATCCGGAGCCAAAGAGGTTTTGAGGGTGGGGGGATAGGCAGCCTCCCATTGTGGGAACCCACTTTCCGTCCCCCAGCTTCAGAGGTCAAGAGTTTTACTCCTGGAAAGACACATTGAGATCAGCTAGGAAGCTGCTTCCGCCACCGAGTGTTGTGCGGGGGTGTTGGGGGAGGGCGGTGTTAAAGCGCAGATTCTGTAACTGCAGTCCAGAGGTACTGAATCCTGATCTTTGAGGGTGGGATGTGGTATCTTCCTTTTTAACAAGACCAGAGGGGGTAATTCACAGGAACAATAAAAGTTTGGTTTACACCAGATTCCTTAATTTACAAACGAGGAAACCGAGATCCCCAGGAGGGGTGTAGGGAGAGGGTTTGACGTTTTGGGGTGGTTCTTTCCTGGCCTTACCTGGTTTCTTCCATTGCTGCTCTGATCAGTTCTCACCCGAATGCCTGAGGGGAACCCTCTTCCTGTATCCAGAGTTCTGTCTGTGTGGGTCTTTCCCTTCTGTGTCCTGTGAACGTGAACACGTGCCAACTTCCTCTCTCTCTCTCTCCCTCATATCAGGGATTACACCTGGCTCTGCCTTTTGCACCGTCCCCTGCACCCTGGCCTGAGATCTCTCAAGCAGTCAGCCGCAGTAATCCTAGGGTGTACTGTATTTGTCAATGTCCTCAGTTACAGGAGGTCAGAATTATTCCATCTTTTCCCTTTAGGTGATTCTTCCCCTGGCTTCCAAAAGCTTCATCAGCACGTATGCACTGACTGATATTTATTTGGCTGAAATGTCAAGGGGTACCCACTGCAGATCTCGGATTCTCTGGGTAGCTGTCGCTCTCTTCTCTCTAGTACGCTGCCCCACAAACTCCAGCCACATAGGCCTCCCATGACCCTGAGTTTGTCTTCTCAACTCAAGGGAAACTGCCAGGCTCCATTGTGTGTCCCTTCCCTGAGAGATGGTCTGGAAACACCCCCCAGGTGGAAAGCTAGACGGCCATAAGGATTACCTCATTTGGTTTCTCTCTCTGAAGGATGGGAAATCACTGTTCTGCACTGCCTGGTGCCCAGTGTTTGAAAGTTGTTTCACATACTGTATTCTTTGTTTTTTTTTTTTAGTCATTGTAAGTGGGAAGGTAAATCCAGTCCTTGTTTCTGTAACTTGGCCGGAAGCAGAAGTGAGTCATATTTTCTGTGAACGCGTCATGAATTCCATGAAGCCTGAAGAGAACCAGTCATCCAGTGCTACAGAAAATGGCCAGAGTACCAGTAAAGTTTCAAAGGTATGTCCACTTTTTAACAACTCTTTGCTAGAGCAGCATACCTAACCATAGCATGCTATCAGGATTCTGGAAGGGGATACGCTCATAGAGGATGGCAGTTATAAACCCTTCTTCCGTGTTGTGAAAAATATATTTGGGGAGACACACATATAAGTGTTTGTGTAAAGCCAAATGATAGTGTATGAATCAACAATGCAAAGTGTGCCGTTTTAGACAACAGGATCACTGACCAACAGTGTAGACACTTGATATCAGAAGGACAGGCAAAAAACAAGAAATACAGTTCATGCTTACTGAGAAATTAGTGTGTACCTGGAATTATTTTTGTCACTTCCTATGGATTATCTCATTTGACATTTAATAAAACAATACGTGGTGTTATCAGCCCTATTTAACTTTTTAAAGATTTATTTATTTTTGAGAGAGAGAGAGAGAGAATGCGTGGGGGAAGTGCAGAGAGAGAGGAAGATAGAGGATCCAAAGTGGGCTCCATGCTGGCAGCAGCAAGCCCAATGAAGGGCTCAAACCCACAAACCCTTGAGATCATGACCTGAGCCAAAGTAAGATTCAGCCGACTGAGCCACCCAGGCACCCCTCTCATCCCTATTTTAAAAATGAAGAAACTGAAACCCAACTTTCTTAAAGTTGCAAAAATAATGAACGCTACGGCAAGGATTTGAATCCGGGTGTTCAGACTTCACAGCCAGTTTTTGACCAACACAAAATATGCAAATCGTTAATACCAAATCAAGATATAAACAAGTGCTTTTGGAGTGCGGAGAGAAGAGTGCTTAATTCACACTCAAGAAATTAAGGCAGGATCATATGAGACTTGCTCTTAGTGAATAGAATTTCACCAGGTAAGTGTATCCTGCGTGAGGGAAGAGTGTGAGTAAAGTCATATACACATAAAAACATATTTGGGAGCAGCATAGTCAGATTTGATCGTATGTAAGAATTCGAGAATGTCGGCTAATAGAGCTGGAGAGGTATTTTGGTAGAAGATTATAGTAGGCTTTATTTCCATTAGAACTTTTATTTTGTCAAAAAGAATCCTCTACTTGTGAAATAATAAAATGGTTTCATTGGATTAAAATTAAATAAAATTTAAAATTAATTTCCTCTGTTCACTAGCCACATTTCAAGGGCCCAGTAGCCATATGTGGGTAATGGCTGCCGTACTAGACAAGCAGATATAGAACATTTTCATCATTGCAGAAAGTTCCATTGGACAGTGCTGTTCTAGATTAGGGACCTCTGTGGCCTTGCTGTTCCAGGTGTGGTCCACACACAGCAGCAACAGCATTGCTATCTCCTGAGACCTCTCTGTGATCTGCATTTTCACAAGACCCCCCCGGGTGATTCTTAGGCACGTTAAAATTTGAGAAATACTGATCTGAGATACCCTGAAGATTCGGTACGGTGAAATCTATCATTGTTATTAGCATTATTTGCTAATATTTACTTCGCTTGTACAGTATCGTTTCAAAAGAGGAAATGTTTAGCCCTGGGAGAAAATAAAACGGATTCATTGGTTCATCTGTCTGACAAGTGCAGAGTTCAGCAAAGCTTTAATGCAGCAGTACACCTGGCTTCAAGGGACTCCTTTGTTTCCAATTTCTGGGCTCTGCTCTTTGTTGTTGGCCTCTGTCTGGCCTTCTGCATAGTGACGACAGAACTCCAGTAAGTTTAGAGTGCATACCTGCATTGGCTACCATTCAGATAATGAGTCCATCCTGGTACCCTGAAAAGACTTCCTTTTGCATCTAACCCTCCCAGGCTACATAGCTCAGCCATTCCTGCACAAAACCGTGTGATTGAGGAGGCACTTCCGGCAAGCGAGGCCTGTCCCTGAGCTGGTGCAAATTCACTTTTGTACACACGTATGGCTGCGACAAAACGGGAGAGAGGTGCAGTGGCTTTCTGGAAAAGAGCTGCGGTATCTTCCTCTTCTTTGAACCCCATGCTTAAGTATTTGGGTTTCATTCTGTAAGTGAAGGAGAAGTTATATACAGGCTTTATCCTTGTATCTTTAAGGAGGAGATTTAATTTAAACTCTAAGCTAAATATTCACATTAAAGGGCTACACTGTTCACTATGGTAGCCACTAGCCGCATGTGGCTATCTAAATTTACATTCAACTTATCTAAAGTTAAATAATGAAGAAAGTGAAGAATTCCGACCCTTGCTCACACTAAGCATACTTCCCCTGAGGCTGCCGTATCCTGAAGGATAGATGTTGGAGATCTCCATCACTGCAGAACGTTCCACTGAACAGCACTAGTCTAAGGCATCCACTTCTACAACAAAACTACAATGTAAAGTTTCCAAACTATTTGGAGGGAAAGTGAAAGGCGGAGGGGGAAAAAATCTAAAAGAAGACAAGAGAGAAGGAGAATATAAGTAAATCTGGGAAAAGCTGGAAAAGGAGAAAATAACTAAAAAGATAACAAATGAATAAAAAAAGATTGGTTATCTTACTGGTTGTGTGAAAGACTTTAACTTTTATCACTACTTTCAACCTATTTATTACATATGCAGTAAAATTAAATCTTTTCCACATATAGTTCTCTGGCCTATGACAGTTACCTGTGGTCTTGTAATCATGACCAGAATCAAGATGCAATAGAGTTCCATCAGCTTAAATAATTCCCTTGTGTGTGTCAAGGGGGACACTCACCTTGACCCCCTGGTGATCAACAATGTGTTCTCCAAGCGTTGCCTTTTCCAGAATGTCATGTAAATAGAGAGGGGCCAAGATGGCAGAGCAGCATGGAAGCTTTTTGCTTCTCTAGTTCTTGAATGCAGCTAGATCAACACCAAACCATCTTACACACCTAGAAAACTGATCTGAGGATTAACACAACAATCTGCACAACTTGAACTGCAGAACTCAGCAGGTATGCAGCGCGGAGAGGTGAACTGTGGGAGAGAGAAGCCACGGAGGGTAGGAAGCTGTTTTGCAGAGAGAGGATGGAGAGAAAGAATGGAAACACCCATAAGGGACTTAACAAGAAAGGGAGAAAGAAGAAAAAGGATAGGGTTTAAATACCATTAAGACTCTATAAACAGGGGAGTGCAGAGCTGAAAGAATCATGTAAATAGAATCATATGCTGAATCAAACCTTTTGGGTCTGGCTTCTTTCACATATAACGTGGCATTTGAGATTCATCCAGGTGGTTAGATGTGTCAGTAGCTTTTTCTTCTTATTGCTGGGTAGTATTCCACAGTACGAATATATGAGAGTTTATCCATTCACCCATTGAAGGATGTTTGGGTTTTTTCCCCAGTTTTGGCTTTTTTTTTATATATATTTATTTTGAGAGAGAGAACAAGAGAGAGGGAGAGAGAAAATCCCAAATAGGCTGCACACTTTCAGCACAGAGCCAGACATTGGGCTCGAACTCACTAGCAGTGAGATCATGACCCAAGCCAAAACCAAGAGCCAGAGACGATCAACCAGCTGAGCCACCCATTTGTGTCTTGTATAAGTAAAGCTGCCTTGAGGATTTGTATACAAGTTTTTGTATGAATATCATTTTCATTGCTTTTGAGTTCTTGCCTATAGGTAGAATTGCCAAGTTATAGGGTAAGTCTATGTTTAGCTTTATAGGAAATTGCCAAAATATTTTCAAAATGGCTCTATCATTTTGTATCCTCACCACCAATGTATGAGTCCCAGCTGCTTCACATTCTTGCCAACATACAGTTTTGAAAGTTTTCCTGATTTTACTCATTCGAATAAGTGTGTAATAGAGAAATATGTAATGGTCTCACCTTGTAGTATAAATGCATTTCACTAATGACTAATGATATTGCATTTCTTTTCATGTTCTATATAGCATTTATGTATCTTCTTCAGTGAGGTGTCTGTTAAAATCTTTGGCCTGTTTTTATATTGGTCTTTCTGGTTTTTTGTTGTTGAGTTTTGGGAGTGTTTTATATATTTTGGAAATGAGCCCTTTGTCAGATTGCTTTTCTTGTAATCTTTGTGGATAATTTATCTCAGTTTGTGGCTTATCTTTTTATTTGCTGAATACTATCTTTTGGTGGGGGGCAGTTACTGACTTTAAAGAAGTGCATTTTAACATTTTTTTCTTTTTTGGATTATGCTTTTGGTTGTATCATCAGAGAACTCTTTCCAAACCTAAGATCACCAAAATTTTCTTGTGAGTTTTCATCAAGAACCCTTACAGTTTTAGGTTTGTCTGTGACCCATTTTGCACTAATTTTGTGTGTATGGTGAAGTATGTGGATCATAAAATAGTAATAGGAAACAGTGGTTAATTACTTAGTTCATTTGTTTGTTCATTTTGTATATGGCATCTGGCACAGTTTGTTGAAACATCTACCCTTTCTCCACTGAATTGCCTTTATACCTTTGTTAAAAATTGAGCAAAACTTGATTGGATCTGTCTTCCAGATTCACTGTTCTTTTTTTTTTTCTAATGTTTATTTTTTTAAATTTTTTGATGTTTGTTTATTTTTGAGAGAGACAGAGACAGAACATGAGTGGGGGAGGGGTAGAGAGAGAGGGAGACAGAATCCAAAGCAGGCTCCAGGCTCTGAGCTGTCAGCACAGAGCCTGACTCAGGGCTCGAACTCACAGATCTAAGTACAGCTCTACTAGTAAGTAAGTAATGCAAATTTACAAAAGCAGTCAAATTAAATGGCATTTCATCTATCAGTTGGAAGACATTTAAAATAACAGTACTGAAATCTCTGAAGGAGCCAACCATACGGTTGGTCTCTGGGCATCAAGGGGAAAAGGAGCAGCATGAGTTGACACAATTTTTCTGGAAAGCAGCTGGGCAGCATATATGTTGTGACGTACATTTATAACCTTAGTGTCTGTATTTCTACAGCTGGGAATCTGGCCTAAGGAAATATCCAGATGTTCAGCCAAAATGTTTTACGTATAGAAATGTTTGTCCTATAAAAATTTGAGACAGTCTAAGTATCCAGCTACAGAAGAATGAGTTAGAAATTATTGTACAGTGAACTATACCCTGTGGCCCCCAAAATTGTGTTCCAAAGGTTGTTTGATGGCATGTAATGTCATTAAATTTAAATGTTTAATGACATGTCATCCAATGGCAGATTGCTTGGCGAAGAATAAACTCATGCAGCTTAGCACAACTTCAGAAACCTAAGGTTTGTATCTGCACGTAAAGTAAAAGAAATGAATAAAACAAAATGTAGGATGGTTATCTCTGGTGATGGAATAATGATGGGTAATTTTTCTCCACTATTCATTATCCAGTATAGTACTCAATTTTTATTCAGAATATATACTAGTTTTATAATTAGACAAACATGAAATATTATTATTAAAGGAGATTCTCATTATGTTTTTAATCTTTCCTTTTTTCTAAGGATATGGCCATCAAGCAGACCTGCCCTAGAAGACTTGCTATTCATCTTCTACCTGACATAAACGAGTGTGGTGGGACCAGTAAGCTTAAAAGTGAAGTCAAGCATGAAGCATCTGTGGAAATCCAGAACCCAGACTGGGACACCCATAAAAAATGTTATTTTACTTTTACTTTGAATGAAAACTCGAGGAAATCTGACCGTAGTATGTTTAAAGCATATGGTAAACCCCATGAGAGTATCTACTCAGCTCTGAGAGCTAATGACAATTTCAGTGAAAGGATGGAGAATCATTTGAATAAGCACATTCTTGTTTTTGAAGAAAAAACAATAGAAGGATATATAAATTTAGGAATGCCTCTCAAGTGCCTACCTATAGGGTCCCACTTCAAAATAAAATTTAGTCAAAGAAAGGGTAACCAGGAAGGTGATCAGATCTTGCGCCAGTGTGAAAATCCATACATGGAATGCGTTCTTTTTCACATTGTTGCTGTTGGGAAGAGGATAAAGAAGATTCTTAAGATCAAGGAACTTCATGAAAGAGGAACTACACTTTGTATCTATGCCCTAAAGGGTGAGACTATCGAAGAAGCTCTAAGCAAGGATGGCCGATTTCGGTCTGACCTGGATGAATTTAAATGGAAAATAATAGAAGATCATAAGATAATTCATGGAAAGCATTCCCTGGTGGATGATGTGTCTGGAAAAACCTTAGAAATGGACATTTTTAAGAAAAACCTTGCCAGGAAAGGTACCCATAAGAAAATTAAACAGGAGAATGAAAATACCACTGAAGAAATCTGTCCCTGGGATCTGATACAGTCTGAGATCAGGGAACACGAACCAGAGGAAGATGAGGAGACTGAAGATGTAGAATACAACAGAGAAAAAATTCTCCCAGCTCGGAATCTAGGGCATGATATTGAAAGTAAAAAACAACGGACAATTTCCAGAATTAGTAAGTATTACAATAATAGTTTCAACAGAAAATACAGGAGAAACAACTCACAGGTTAGGCAAAGGCCCCATCCAGGTATGGAACATGTTAATCAATATATCCAAAGGACGGCAATTAACCTCTGGCTGAAGAATTTCCAAAGGTTGAACAAAGTGATAATGGATCAGTATCCGAATTTTAAGGAAGAGACTCTCTGGATGAGAAAGTATTTTCAGGATGAACAGAAGAAAACCAAACTGCTACCATTTCAACAATTCAACATTTATAAAAAGTACTTTGGAAAAGTGACTGAAAATTCTACTTCAGTTGCAATCTGTGAAGATCTTATTCATCTTAGTAAGTCAGTTGGGTTCATGAAATGGGACAATAATGGAAACACAGGCAACGCTACTTGCTTTGTCTTCAATCATGGTTATATTTTCACCTGTCGACATGTAATACATCTTATGGTGGGAGAAGGCACAGATCCAAGTTTGTGGCCAGATATAATAAGCAAATGTGCAAAGGTAACTTTTGCTTATAAAAAGTTCTGTCCTATGGATGTTGATTGGTTTTCCATTGAGCCGTGGTTTGAGGTGTCTGATGGAACTCTAGATTACGCCATTTTAAAGTTAAGAAAAAACGTAAATGGATTTCCTCCAGGCCTGTTTGGACAGATTCCCTCTCCACCATCTAGTGGTTTGATTTATTTAATTGGTCACCCAGAAGGCCAGGTCAAGAAAATAGATGGCTGTGCTGTGATTCCTCCAAATCAGCGGTTAGAGAGGTACCCAGAGCATCATCAAGATGGGGTGGTAGGTCCCCATGCTGCCACTTATAATGCTTTTTCTATGTTTACCCAACGAAGTTTCCTATCAGAGGTTTGGAGCACAGATACACTTAGCTATGATACTTGTTTTTCCAGCGGGTCCTCTGGCTCCCCAGTGTTTAATGCATCTGGCAAGTTGGTTGCTATGCATACCATTGGGCATTTTTATAAACGTGGAGATAAAGTATATGCCCTTATTGAATTTGGCTATTCTATGGAGTCAATTCTTTGTGATGTTAAACAGAAAAATGAGAGTTTATATAAATTATTAAACGAAGAGAAAAACGAGAACCATGATGAAGACCAAAATAACAAGTCATTTCAAGATCATCAGATTGAACCCATGGAACATTAGGAAAAAGATGTTTTCAAGAAAATATGCTAATAATTTAGAGTATTCAGGGCTGTTTCCATAAACTATAATGAATAGTCTTTTTTTAATTAGAAAATGATATGGATGTTCAAAAAAAATATAAGAGTTCAAATAAATTCTGATTTTTTTTGGTCATTGGCTTTTTTCTTATTTGAAACAATCTCAAACCTCACTTAAAATACTTAGCTCTATTCTATACATACAACAAATTTGGTATTTGCCATTCTAAGTACATCGGATGATACATCTATCCCATCTTCCTAACTGGTGAGGTGACCCCTGTTCTCTGAATAACAAAATAATGGGGAAATGCACTTTTAGAGTGAACAAAATAAGATGTTCCTCTAAAACTCAAAATTCTTTGGTTGTTGGGGCCCCTGGGTGGCTCAGTTGTTAAGCTTCTGACTCTTGATTTCAGCTCAGGTCATGATCTCATGGTTCATGGGATCAAGCCATGCATCGAGCTCTGCACTGACAGTGGAAAGCCTGCCTGGGATTCTCTCTCTCTCTCTCTCTCTCTCTCTCTCTCTGCCTCCCCCTCT